AGCTGCATCCCCGGCCCGGCCGCCGCAGCCCGTGGACTTTGCCCCCCCTGCCAGAGAACAGGCAGCGCCCTTAAAGCGCCCGAACTGCCCGGGGGGAAGGCCAGGAGCCCCGGGGGGGCACAGGCAGCAGCCAAACATGCCTGTCTCCCTGGGAGGGTCCGTGCCAGGCTCTGACCCGGAGGGTTGCCTTGAGCAGAAGAGCTAAGGGCTGCGGGGGAAGGAGAAAACCGCTCCAGAAGAGGCTTTGGGAGCTCAGGGAATGTGTTTGTTTTTTTCCTTTTTCCAATTCATCCTGGAAACCTTAAGTACTTTAGAAGAGCCATGAGAACACACCTCTTCAGATCTTGTCAGGGGAGTGAAGCACATGAAAGCCAACACTTCATCCCTGCCTTTAGTAACGGATTGAAGGGAGCAGAGAGCAGGAGTTCCAAGGTCTCTGTGCCCAGCACTCCACTCCACCTCCTCTCCCACTCCCTGCTCCAAACAGGAGAATTTATCTCCCCACCAGCCCCTAGGGAGCCCTGGCCCAGCTCAGGAAGCCCCCTGGTTCTCAGCAGCCCCCAACACTGCTGCTCCACCTTTCCCCCCCCTGCCCAAGCCCTCCCCAACCTGCCACCACGTCACTCCTTTGCCCTCTTGCTTCAGAGTCCGGGGCTGGAGCAGCTGCCCCGCACTTTGCCCTGGGCTTGTTCCTCATTCTTCTGTGCAGGAGGAACTCAAACCACCCCTGTCAGCACCCACATGGAGATCAGGTTCTGGGCTGAGGAGGAAAGGCTCGTTAAGAGCCACTCATTAAGCCTAAGGGTGACAGGAACACCCCAAGAAGCAAAGGGGGTGTTCACACACCAACGGACACCAGGAACTTACTCTTTGATCTAAAAGGGTCTAAGTTTGGTGACCTCCTGGGTACACCACTGGTTTTGTTTCTGGAGGTTAAATCCCCACTTTGAGTGAAGCACATGAAAGCCAACACTTCATCCCTGCCTTTAGTAACGGATTGAAGGGAGCAGAGAGCAGGAGTTCCAAGGTCTCTGTGCCCAGCACTCCCCTCCACCTCCTCTCCCACTCCCTGCTCCAAACAGGAGAATTTATCTCCTCACCAGCCCCTAGGGAGCCCTGGCCCAGCTCAGGAAGCCCCCTGGTTCTCAGCAGCCCCCAACACTGCTGCTCCACCTTTCCCCCCCCGCCCAAGCCCTCCCCAACCTGCCACCACGTCACTCCTTTGCCCTCTTGCTTCAGAGTCCGGGGCTGGAGCAGCTGCCCCGCACTTTGCCCTGGGCTTGTTCCTCATTCTTCTGTGCAGGAGGAACTCAAACCACCCCTGTCAGCACCCACATGGAGATCAGGTTCTGGGCTGAGGAGGAAAGGCTCGTTAAGAGCCACTCATTAAGCCTAAGGGTGACAGGAACACCCCAAGAAGCAAAGGGGGTTCAGGCACCCACCTTCACACACCAACAGACACCAGGAACTTACTCTTTGATCTAAAAGGGTCTAAGTTTGGTGACCTCCTGGGTACACCACTGGTTTTGTTTCTGGAGGTTAAATCCCCACTTTGTAGCTACTAATGTATGGTTGGCATAAAAACTGCCCTCCAGAGGCTGCCTCACCAGCCCCTACCTGTACAAAGCCAGGGGTTCTCTGAGAGTTCCAGACAACCAGCCCCAGAGCTCTGGTTTGTGCCAGTCAGAAACCAAAACCCAGCAGCCCTGGGAAACCACAGGGGTGAGTGTCCTACCAGCCCAGGAACACTCAGCTGCCACAGTGACCTTAATCATCTGAGCAGAAATTGGCCCTGTGAAGACCTGCCAGATTCCTTATCTGTATTTCCCAATCCTCCCTGATCCTGCCCATGCTGATGAGCCACCCCAAAGGCAACATCCCCCTGTGCAAGCTGCAGCCAGGGTACACACTGTGCTGGTAGGTGCACAAGGTGCTCAGGCAGTTGGATTTCTCTCACAATGAATCCCTCCTGAACTGACTATTTCAAACGTTTTTTTTATTGAAAGCCAAGTCCTTGACTCCACCTTGTTTAGAAAAGTTAACAAAAGAGAATCACACACCAAGTAGTTGGACTAAGGGAAAACAAATGCAAAAGGAACCAAACCAACCAACCTCACCTTGTTTTCTCCAAGATGCTTGGAGGGCAAGAGTTCTAGAGCCCACAGGAACCCACAGTGACACCACTCATTCCAGAACCTCCATGATTAAAACTAAGGAACCAATAAGTTTTACTTTATTTACAGAATGAAGAAAATTCATAGTTGTAGAGGGGTTTTCTTAGGACAACAAAATCCAAATGGCCTTTCACAAACAGTGTTTGAAGGCTTGGTTCTTCACCACCCCAACCCACAGAGAGTCTCTTGCTGGGTGAACTTAGTGTTCAAGAAACCAAGGAGCTGTCTCCTCTGACATGGAATGAACTTGCCCTGGGTAGAACAAACCAGGCACTCTTTTTGCAATGTCAGTTGAAGGTCACACTATACTTGGAGCTTCACAACAGCATCAGAAGCCAGTTCTTCAGGAAACAGTGACTGAACAAAAGCTGGGTGAGAACCAGTCCCATAAATTGGAATTAAAAATTAAAAAAACAACAACAAAAATCAACCCCAGAGCAGCAGAGGATCTGCCATTACACAACAAACTCATTTCTTGCAACGTAGCACTAAGCTAAACACCAGTGGAGCCCCTGAACTGGTCCTGTTGGTATCTTTGGTGCTACCCTTCCACTGGCACCTGGGAGCTCAGGGATCCATCCCACTTGCCTCACTCTGCCAACACCACCCAGGCCTCCTCACCACGTGTCGTGACACTGGAAGGTGCAGGGAGCAGCTGGCAGGCTGCTCTTCTGGGTGAAAAGATGGCATTGTGACTTCAATGAGTTTTACCATATTAGCAAATAAGAGAATGATAATGCAGTTTCATAACATTTCACAGGAAAATTACACTTGCTTGGAAAACACGTTGTCCCCGTAACGTTCTCAGTAGTAAGGTCGTCGTGGATTGTTCTGTGGGGAATAACAAGAGAAATTCATTTAAATTGTTGCCTTCACAGAACAATGAGCTTAATTCTCTGAAAAAGCCACTGAAATGTAACATTTCTGACAGCGAAACCTGAGGTTTGCCCATCAAAAATTACAATCTCAGCCCTCTAGGTGCAAGAGGCAAACACAAACTTACAAGTCTTTTGCAATCAGGAAAACAATTATTCAAAATAAACCATGGATTCACAGACAATCATCCACTCCCTTTCTGGGCACAGTTTATACTTTGTATGTAGCAGATAAAATGAAAAATGAGGGATTTTGAGTTTAAAAAACCAAAATCATTGCAAGGGAAACGGCACCTTTGTGGATGTTTTTCTTCACCAAAAGTTTTATGAGGCATTGGAACAGGCTGCCCAGGGTGGAGTCACCATCCCTGGGGGTATTTAAGAGTTGTAGAGATGTAGTTCCTAGGCATATGTTTTAGTTAAGGACTTGCCAGTGTCACGTTGATGGTTTGACTCTGTGATCTTTAAGGTCTTTTCCAACCAAACTGGTGACTTGGTTTGGGCAGCGATAACTTGACTCAGCATGAGAAAGAATCAAAGAAACTCTCACAGTGTTTGCTCACTGGGTGAGGTGCTAGGAACACTCCTGCCCCAGGAGACAGGCACAGAAGCCCCAAGGGATTTGTCCCTGTGTTTGCCCTGGCCCTGGGACCCCCTTACCAGAGGGTTTGGTCGGAAGCGGTAGGCGAGCATCATGCGCTTGCGGAACGCCTCGTACTCATCGTCCTCCTTGGTCAGCTCAGCGGGGCGATCGATGCCAAAACCAGCTCCATCCACAGCTGTGGTCCCCCTGTTTGGGAAGAGGGAAGAAAAATCCCCGAGGTGAGCAGATGTGACACATCATCTTCCTCTTCTGCAGAAAAACCTGCTGCCTCTTGTGGCAGGAGCTCACGGAGTGAGTGGTGTCACCCAGAACGCGCTGTATCGTGACAGGCGCTGGTCCTGAGCAGCTGACTCTGGTTGCCAGGCTCCCAGGCTGCCCTTCCACAGCAGGGACACTTGCTGCTGTTGGATGGAAGCTGGAGTGTCAACAGATATTTGCTTAACCTTTTACAGCAAGGACAGAAATACCCTCCAGGCCTCAGTGCCTCCCTGTGAAACGCTGCCGGGAGCAGCAACTGGAGCCGTGGGGCTGCACCCTGGGGACTGGAGGTGGCCAGAGCTGCTAAACCACACCTTGCCTCTCCTTCCTTCACTGCAGAATGGACCCAAAAAGCAGAAGCAATTCCCTTCCATCTGCAGGAGCACCTTCTTATCCACACTAAGAACATATCGATGGCAGAGCCCAAGTGAATCACAACCCTCGTTCAAACCTGATGGACCAAAATTGCCTCCCTCTGCTGCCTGGGAGCCTGGCTGCTTTGATTACTGCCACCTTTCATCCCAGGACTTCTTTGAACCAATGAGCACAGTGCCAGAGTCATCTTCTTGAGAAAGAGAAGCAGAAGCACTTTGTAGAGAGACTTTCTTTTGTGCAGCAAACAAACAGCTGTTATTTCTAAAAAGATCCAACACTGAAAAACAACTCTGAGTATTTCCTATCCCAAATATTTGGTTCTGAAGTTCAGCATATGTTACCAAGAGATGATCCAGCTAAAAAGAGATGCTCATCTATTTTTGGGCAGAACTCTCATAAAGCTTTATTGTATAGCAAGTGTGATCAAACCAGGAAGCCTCTGGGCAAATGAGTGATGTCAGGACAGCTGCAGGTTCCACCCAGAGCTGTCTGATCTGGACTGAGCCTCCCCCCAAGCAGGGGCTAGAAGCAGCACACCCTGGTCATCTTCTCTTCCCCCTCCCCAGCACCCCAGGGACTTGCCAGCAGGCAGCAATGGTGCTTCAGATGCAAATGGCCTGTTCTTTAATGCTGAAATAAATGTATGACTTTAAAGCCAGGCCTTAATCGTCATAGGCCCTGGGAGAAGGGAGGCACAAACAAGTGTTCTCTTCATGATACTGATGGGGAAGCTGGGGAGTGGCACCTCTCAGAAGAAGGCAAACTGAGATGAGAAGCAAAAACCCTGAGGTCACCCCCTCCCTCCCTGAGATAAAAGAACCAACCCAGGCCTTGGTGGGAGGGAACCCCAAAGAAATCAGAAATTATTTTCTTCCTTGGCTGTGAGGACTCCATGTGCTGCTCAAGTGATGAATTGCAGCCACATTCCTTGCAGCTGCTTCCAGCGGGCTAGGGCAGGAGCATCAATTACCAGCCCAAGAGGAATGGACTAAATCAATAGTAGAAGAACTCTGCTTACTTGCTGACTGGGTTTTTAATCCCCTGTCCATCCGAGCCAAGTCCCTCGCCCTCCTTCCAGCCCATCTTCATTAGCATTTGATAACCTATGTTTTCCACAGTCAGTTTGAACTCTTTGTATTCCGAATAATCCGGCTCACGTCCTTCCTGCAGAGACACAAAAGGCAGTGCTGGTTATTCCTTCTATGCACCCATCTTTGTTGGTCAGAGGAAGGGAAAAGCAGCTTCAGCTACTTCAAGTTACTCATTGTTTGCCAGAACCATCCTAACTAGCATGATTTCCTTGGGATTTCAGTTCTGCACCAACACAGAAGAAAAAAAATAGGGGAATGATAAAGCCCTGCCCAGCCCCATCACATCATCTGCAAGAAGCAGAGAATGCAACTGTGAGATTAAGCCGAGAAATATTTAGCTCCTGAATTTAAAGTTGCTCACTGGATCAAGCTTCAGACACAGTTTGTGTTAATCCAGGATCTCCAGGGAATGTCAGACCCCATGCTGGTTACACAACAACTTTATAAGGAATGCACCAGCATCAAGCAGCTCTGCACTTCAGGAGGAATTGGCAGGTATTGAAGTGCTTTGCATAAGCTTTTTGTAGGCTTTATATTTTCACTTTACTGCAATCAACTGGATAAAAATTCAAATTTTCCTTGCTTGGCATCAGCAACCACTTATCTGGAACAGGAAGGGCAGACAAATGGTGGGTAGTCTGAGAGGTTTGTCTGCCATTCCACCTCACCCCCAAACACTCTCCCAGGATCTGATCTCTTATTTGCTGCAGACATTTCTCTGCAAAGAGGAAAAAAAAACCTAACTCCTTTTTTCCTCCAGAAGCACCAGAGCTGCCAGTGTAAAGGCAGAAGGATCTCAAGGCTGCAAGGCCTAAGGTGCCTCCCTCCCTGCCCCAGGGCAGGCCTGAGGTTCTGCCACCACCCCTGACTCTGCCATTTCACCTTCAGTGCCTTGAACGTCTCCATGAACTTCTCCAGCTCGTCAGGTGGGAGGAAGTCTCCAATGAAATGTTTCCCTCTGCCCATCTGGGTCAGCTGCTCAGCCCACTCTGCCCAAGACACAGAGGAGAGAAAATAGCAACAATGCAGCCTCCTGTGACTGGGACTGCCCAGGGTTTACGAAGCATAAAACCTGACAACAGAGGGCCATGATTTCCACTCAACCACGAGGGAAGCCACAGCACAGAGCAGTGAGAAGGGATCCTTCAATTCCCATGCCAGCAACAGGAGCTCAGACATAGAACCATGGAATGGTTTGGGTGGGAAAGGACCTTAAAGATCATCTAGATCCAACCCCCTGCATGGGCAGGGACACCTCCCACCAGCCCAGGCTGCTCCAAGCCCCATCCAACCTGCCCTTCAACACTGCCAGGGATGGGGCAGCCACAGCTTCCCTGGGCAACCTGGGCCAGGCTCTCACCACCCTCACAGCAAAGAATTTCCTCCTCATGTCCAGCCTCAATCTCCCTCTTCCAGTTTCAATCCATCCCCCCTTGTCCTCTCCCTCTCCGCCCTTGTCCCAAGTCCCTCCCCAGCTTTCCTAGAGCCCCTTCAGGCACTGGAAGGTGCTCTAAGGTCTCCCTGGAGCCTTCTCTTCTCCAGGCTGAACACCCCAACTCTCTCATCTTCCTCTGGAGGCCTTTTGCCACCACAGAGCAAGATGTGGACACACCAGCTCCCCACTCACCAGCTCCCCACTCACCTCGTGTCTTGTCCATCTCCATGCGGCGCAGCTGGTGCTCCCAGGTGCCCAGCTCACTGTCCACCTCCTCATCACTGTCATAGCCATGTTGGTGCTGCTGAATTGCCTTTTCCCACATCATCTGCATCTCCTGCATGGCTCGTTTGTGCTTCATGATCATGTCATACATCTGCTGCATCTAGGGCAAGAGATCCAACAGTGGGCTCAGATGATGACCAGCTCCTGGGCAGCAGGGTTGCCCACAGAGGCAGGGACCCATCCTGGCTGCCCCAGAGAAAACAGGTTGTGACAACTACAAGTCCCATCTGATCCATTCACTTCCCAGGTCATAGAGGAGCACTATGTGCTGGTTCTTCTGAAAAAAGAACCTGGATGTTAACCCCAAGCTCTACTACCACCTGATTGTCCCCACAGTTTAAGCATAGAACCATGAAATGATTTGGATTGGAAGAGACCTTAAAGATCATCCAGTCTCAACCCCCTGCATGGGCAGGGACACCTCCCACCAGCCCAGGTTGCTCCAAGCCCCATTCAACCTGCCCTTCAACACTGCCAGGGATGGGGCAGCCACATCACCCTCACCTTCTGGCAAGAGCCAATTCTCCTTTCCCCTGAACTTGCAGGTGCCCACTCACCCTCTCCCCTCTGCTGAGGCAGATGTCACACAAGACTCTGCTACAGATTTGGGGTTCCCACTGGGAACAGCAACTGGCTGCCTCAACTCAGATTCCTCAAAGTCCTCCAACATGCCTGCTGGCTGCAGCACCACATCATTCCAGGGCATTCAGCACAAATCCTAGAGATTTATTTGTGGGCCACTGGGCAAGTCTCCGTTATCTCCACCTCCATCTTCCCACCTAACCCAGCAAGGCAACATGCTGGTACACAAGGAATTTGGAAACCATTTCAGGGCTTTACCTCCTGCTGCTCCTTCAGCTGTTTCTTCTGGGCTTCAGAGAGCTCTGTCACACCCACCAAACCAACCGGTTTCCCTTTTTCATAACCAAGACCTTTCAGGTCCTGAACTGAAATAAGCAGATGTTAAAAAGACTTTCAGAAATCTGAAGAAGTTTTTGAGAGCAGAGAAACTGTATCTCAAGATCCCCACGTCAAATTTTACTCATTTTATGGGTCCCTCTTCCAGTTTTAATTCATTTCCCCTTGTCCTCTCCCTCCCTGCCCTTGTCCCAAGTCCCTCCCCAGCTTTCCTGGAGCCCCTTCAGGCACTGGAAGCTGCTCTAAGGTCTCCCTGGAGCCTTCTCTTCTCCAGGCTGAACACCCCAACTCTCCCAGCCTGTCTCCAGAGCTGCTCCAGCCCTGGGATCATCTCCTTGGCCTGCTCTGGACTCTCTCCAGGAGCTCCATGTCCTTCTTATGTTGGGGGCTCCAGAACTGGACACAGTGCTCCAGGTGAGGTCTCACAAGAGCCAAGTAAAAGGAGAGAATCCCTTCCCTTGATCTGCTCCAGGAGCAGGAAAAGGTGCAGCTCAACATTCCCTGCCCCTGCTCCAAGGCTCTATCACATTATCAGACTCACAAACGATGTGTCACATCCTCACAGGTCACAGTCTGCTACACTGTGCTTTAAAAACCATTCCTCCCTAATCTTAACTCCCTTTCTAAGGCTTACTGGTGAACCCCAGCCCCTGAAGAGGGTGATGCTTCATTATTCAGACCTGAGTCACCAGCAGATCCCAGCCTGTCAGCACATTGGCCAACCTGGGCACCCAAGTGGCTGCTGACGAGTGTGTAAACAGCAACTTCATTCCAAATGAAAAGCAAAAGACCACATTAGAATAAAGACATGAGCATGATGCTGCTTTTGGAAGTTGTTGGTCCCCAAGGAGATTTTAGTTGCTAATCTACAGGCTGGAGAAGAGCATTGCCAGGGATCTTGTCCCTGCTTTCAAAGAAGAGGGATTTCAACTCTCTGCTTGACAAACCCATTGATGTATCCTCCTTTTTCTGCAGCATCTCCTCTTGGAAGCCATTCCTTTGGAATGGTTTGGGATTTATTTATTTTTTGCTGCTGAATCAGATAAGCCCTGAAATTAGATATGAACACGATCTGGGCAGGGCACCTACTGATTTAAATGATCATACAGCACTTGGAGCTCAAAGGGCAATTTAAAGGGAAAAGGGGAGTTGGAAAGGAAGCCTGTTTGGAACTGGTGCAGCATGAAAGAAAGTAGTAACACTGCTGGGGCTGCAACAAAAAAGAGATTTACAATGGAAATGGCCTTGCAAACTTGGTTCATACCTGTCTAGCAGGGTTGGCAGCTCCCCTCTAAAGCACCTCAGAGCTAAGACCCCAACAGTTAAATATTTAAGGGATTAAAAGGAGCCACTCAGCCACACTTGAAAGCTCATTGCATTTTTCACTACAAGGAACAGGATTTCTCCCTAATGGCTGCAAAAACCTGCATTTGGATGTAAGTCCACACTACAGCTAAGTGATGCTTCATTCATTATTTATTCCCTATTAATTATGAAGCCTGATAATAACAGGATCATTGTTCATGACACCAAATGTCTACACAGCATGTTAATCAGCCCTGGGGGTGTCCTCCCCCCTCCTCTTATTCTCACTCAGGGCAATTGATCTGAGCACTCTTATCTGCCCTCCTGCTTTTGGGTGAGCATTCCAGGATTGGAAAGGGGCTTCCTTAACTCCATCCAGCCTCCCAAGGAGAACACCAAAGGGGGCATCACCTTCCCCTCACACTGCTCCAAGCCTCTGCACATTCCCACCAGTCAGCTCTGCAGGAGGAATTATGTAAAACACTGCAAGAGGTTTTCCAAGAGGAGGGAAGGAAGGAGCAGTGTCACACTGGGCTTGGTGCTGGGATCAGCACTTCCAGCTCCCAAGAAACGAGAGCAAATAAAAAAATAAACCTGTTTGTTGATGATAAACAGCCCAATTCCTGTCTGGGAGAGCACAGATCTGGGAAAAAGGTTCAAAGAACACACTGTGCCTGTTCCATGGAAAGAAGAATCTGGGCCCAAATGTCAGGTAAGACTGAGGCACTTCAGCATCAACCCCACTTAGATTCCACTGCTGTCCCAGGGCATGGGAAAGCTTCCTCTGAATGCACTGAGGAAGACTCTGCCCTTCACAGAGGTCAGCAGCTCCCTGGCTTCATTTGGAATTGCATCCACACTCAGGCTAAGAGCCAGGGATGGCTCTGGGGTCTCTGTGAGCTGGGGCTTGCCAGCATGTACAACCACCCTAAGGGAGAAAAGTAAGCCCCCAACATCTCATCCTATTCCTCAGAAAGCATCTGCCACTGCTCCTTCCTGGGCTAAAACTACATCTGGTTTGTCTGCCTGCTCAGGTTCCTGGCAGGTTTTATGCTGAGATGCTGCTGAAAAGAGTCACTGCAGAAATCCAGCCCTGGGGGATGATTTTGTAGTCTTGGCCCAAAGTACCACAACCCAGGCAAAGTTGACAGTCAAAGCAAAGCTCCACCCCAAGTCCACATCTGAAGATAGAAAAGTCTATTCATAAGATCAGTCGACAGATTTGCATCAAAATAGGGAAGATTGATAAGTTCCTTACACAGGAGCAGCATCAGGGAAGCAGGAAACAAGGAGCTGCTTCTCAGCCTCATCCTCAGCAAGCCTGGGAAAAGGACTTGTTTTTTCCTTGGATGACATCAGCTCTGCCTACAGGGTTAATGGTGCAGTCTATCTGCAGCATTGGCAGAAGACTACCTGATGGTTTATCCCTCTCCCACATGCCCAAAGAGGAGCTTGTTACAAGAGAATCAAATGTCCTTTAAGGACAGAAGAAATCCCAGCACAGAAGTGCCTGGTTTGGTGGGGTTTTTTGCTTCAGAGTCTGAAGATCTCACTCAATTAAAACTAATCAGGCCCATACCAATCCAATATCAGGTTTGAGGAAACACTAATGACAGCCTGTAATTTCCCATTAGTCCACAGAGTTCAGTGATCACAGAATTGCTGCTCTGTTCAGATATATTAGTCCCTGCAGTCCTATCCAGTGAAGTGTTTGGGTATCAATATATTTAAGAAGAACCTTGTTTCTGTCCAAAAGGGCTACACTTCCTCCTCTCCATGACACTGATTTATTACTAAGAGCAGCCAGGAAAAGAACCAGAACAGCCCTCCACTAATTCCAAAACAATTACTAAGGATAAAGGAGTAAGACATTGATATTTAGGTATCAAAGCACACTGGGCAACTCCAGCCTTTCTCAGGAGCAGGGGTGTAATTCAGAATTCCCTTCACCTGTCAGGTTGAAGATGTTAATTCTGAAAAGGGATTAGTTCACCTGAACTGATATAAAAAAAAAATACATCCTTCCCCCTGCAGAGCATTAGCAGTTCATCTGTCATGCCTGGTTTGCTGTCCTTTTCTTCTACTTGACACCAAGCCCTGCAGAAAGTGAGCAGGGACACAAGGAGCACATCCCTGCCTAATTAAGGGGCAGCTAAAAGAGCCAGGGCAGATTTCAGCAGGGAGCATGCTGGAATGAGCACATGGATACCCTTGCAGCTCCCCACTGCAGCAGGAGGCAGGAAGATGGAATCTGATGCTTGCTTTGATAGCACCTGCCCAGCTTCATCATCAAAGCTTCACTGCAGTCTGCAAGAAAATTACTCTAGAGGTACAAAAAGACTTTTGCATCTGAGCTCTGCCTTACTACCAGAAGCAATTCAAGGTCAAATAAATAAGTCATCCAGGTTGGAATCTTGTTCTGTACATCTGAAGTGCTGGATTATGAGGTAGAACCCATCCTCCCTTCCTGACCCCCACAGAACCTAGAGACACCCCAGCACACAGCCAACCCTACACCTTCCTTACCCAACCACAGTTATTAATGAGTCCAGCAATATTTTCTCTAGCACCTAGCCATGGCAGAAGACCCACAACCTGCACAGCTTGACCACATGTTGAGAACTATCCAGTCTCACCCTGCAGCTCACAAAGTTATAGCTCCCTTTCTATGCCTTGTCACACCTCATGTGTCCTGCTGTTGCTTTTTGCAAAATGTCCTCAATGAGACAGGTCCTTCTCACCTTGCCCATGACTCCAGCCTCATGCCATTAATTCTCTCAGTTTGCCAACGTCCACTGCCTTACCCTGTGTCTTCTCTTCCTCCTTTTCACACCCTTTCCCCCTACCACACTAACTGTGCAAAGGACTCCAAGATGCCATCTCTTATGTCTGTGTTCACCTTTTGTCCTTGAGTGACTTCCTTTTTGGACGCCTCCCTAACTGCCTAATTACACAGGCACAGATGGGCCACCCGAGTTCAGCCTCCCAGAGCTCTCTGGAAGTGCCTCAACTGGAAGAATTATCTTCCACCAGTTGGAAGAGCTGCACCCCTCGGGTGATCCTGGCAAGTAAAGCAACAGGAGCAGAGCCTCAAGGCTGCATGAGGCCTGTGAACCCCCTCAATAAACAAATGAACTGAATTGGGCAGAAATTGGAACTGGAAGTTACATGTGTGTCTGCCAGCACTTGGGGAACAGCTACTCCCATTTAGCCTTCTGAGTGAGATGGAAGTGCTGCCCAGGGATTTCATGCAACCATGGGGAATAAGCACAGTTCAGGCTTTGATACCTGTTTGCTGACAGACTCTCTTCCTGAAGTGGAATAGCCCTAAATAGTGTAGAGGCTAAGGCTGTAATGAGCTAGAGCACAGCAGGGTTTTAGAGAGAGCTGGAGAATGATAAGATCCAATCCCTGGTGTCAGTGAGATAAAGTGGTTTATCTGGGTTTCCACACAGGGAAGAGTTGGCTGCTAGACCTGCTGAAGCAGAGGGGGCTGGCAACCAAGGAGATGACAGCCAGAGATAGGATGTGCTGGGCTTTCTGTTTACAAGGCCAGCTGGGCTAGGGCAGAATGGACTCCCCAGGAAAAAAGTTACCCAACAAAATCTCCAGACCCACTCACCTGAAAGAGGGGAAGGGGAATCCAGCTGCTGGATGAGCTGTGGGAGGGGCAGTTCAACCTTGTCCTCCTCCGGCCCCCACCGGCTCTTCCGCTTCTTTTTGGTAGTGGCAGCAGCAGGGGTGGTGGCAGCAGCAGGTGGGGCTGTCTGCTCAGGTGGAGTCATGGAGGAGGATGGAGAAGGTGAGGGCAAGGCTGAGGGCACGGGCAAGGGCAGAGGCAAAGGGGAAGGGATGGGCAAAGGCAGAGGGGAAGGGATGGGCAAGGCCGAGGGAATGGGCAAGGGCAGGGGGGAGGGAAGGGGCAAAGGCAGAGGAGTTGGAAGGGGCAAGGACAGAGGGGTGGGAAGGGGCAAAGACAGAGGTAAAGGTGAGGGCAAGGGCAAAGAGGGCAAGCACAAAGGTGAGGGTGAGGCTTCGGGGCTGGTCTTCCTTTTCAGAGAGGCCTCTGCAGGTGCAGGGGCAGAGGCAGGGCTGGCCTTGGGCTTTCGGAACTCCTCCAGCTTCTGCCCGGAATACCTGTAGACTT